TGTTACTCTAGTGACAGGGCCTGCTAATTGGCTCCTGTCATAAGTATATTATGCTTATGACTCTTGAAACTGAGCCAGAGGTGAAGTTTCATGTTACTACATTAGTATTACACTATGTATTACACTATGTGCTCTATATGTAATACTTATGTTACACTTTGTACATTGTGTATTACATCTTGTTATACATGATTACTGTGTGTAATCATGTTTATTTCAGTCTATGGGACTGCTGTGCAGTCCTCAAGATTGACAGGTTCAAACCTTGAACCAGATCAAGGCTTATTCTCCCATGGGCCTGCTGGGCAAGTCTAACCTGAGTTAACACCACCTCAAGCCATACTTTCATTTTGTCCTCATTATCAATTCAATACCCTTGAAGAGTTATCATTTTTTGTTTTTTGTTTTTTAAAAAAAATCAACAAAGTATCAATGTTTAAATCATATACAATTCATTACTCAATCTGTACCTCAAAAACTTTGAACTTTTGAGGGTTTTTGAGTTTTGAGGTACCTCAAAGCTCATACTTGAGCCTCATGGGCCATCCTTACTCTTCCTTTTTTTTTGAAAAAGAGAGAAAAAAAAAAACAACAATTCATCATTTGATCTGTACCCTGAAAACCTCAAACTTCTGAGGGTTTTTGAGGTTCAAGGTACCTTGAACCTCAAACCCAAGCCTCAAGCACCATCCCTCACTGCCAGCAAAAATCACTTGGACAAGGCTGTCCGAGAACACCTTGGACAGCCTTGTCTGAGTAATTTTTGCTGGTGGTGCCTAGTTACAACCCAGGTGGGTCAATTTGCAGTGAAAAAAATTCAGTTTTTTTTGGACTCTTGGTTGACACTGATGACTGTGATCATTGGTGTATGAATAAGAATTGGCCAATCCTTATGTGATGGATCATTTAGTCTTTTTACCTGAACTTGCAACAAACAGCAAGATCACTTGCTTATCCCAATCCAAAAAGTGTCACAAGGCAGAAAAGTATTTGTGCACTATGGGATTCAAACCCATGACTTATTTTACCCTGAATTCTAGAAGGGTGCTCTAACCACTGAGCTAAGTGCACATGGTTAATCAAGTGTTAAGTGGGGATCTATGCATGTACATTCTGACAACCTGGAATGGCATCTGCTCTTACAATCTTAGTCTGAATACTGTAGTACAGAAAGCATAGAACATGTCACTATATTGACAAAAAGTGGCACAAAGACCTGGATCCTGACATGCATGTGCAGATGGTCAGAGTGGACAACAGTCACTTTTTCCTTCATGATCCTGTGGAACTTGACAGCAATGAGATTGAAATCCCTCAATACTTCTATCAAACAGAGACTAAGGTGCTTTCCAAATTTATTTCTGCCACAGTTGAACACAACCTTGACACAGAAAGAACTCACATTGAATTTCTCTTGGTACACCAGAACTCAAGTGAGTTGGTGATTTTTTCCCAAAACCTCAATAGATTGGTTTGCTGAGATACTCTGTGTCAGGGGGTGGCTTCTGTCAGGCTACCACCTGGCTGAGAAGTTAACTAGGTAAGAGTGTCTGGGACCCTAAGTGGCAATCTAGCAAGCAGTACTTGGGCCCCCAAGTATTGACTTCAGCTAGTTGACCTCTTATTAGAGGATTTAAGATTCCTTCTCAATCTTCTTAGGATTCTGATGGAGGAGCTTCTCAAGGATAGGCCTATTTCTATCCTTCTAATGGCTCAACTCTCTCAAGGTGGCAAGCCAAAGGCAGGCTTGAGTGTTTCAACTCTAGCCCTTGCTGTCCTGATGAGCAAGGGGTCTTCAAGTTAAGGTTACTAACCTTGGTGAACCTTGTATTACTTCACACCTATAACACTGTGCACTATTGAGCAGATATCTTAATTATAAGATTCCTCAATTTTGTGCTATTATGTTATTTTGGTGGGTGGTAAAAGGTTAGGGGAGGAGAAAACTCCTGAGCAGGAGAGAGAGGGTTTATATACCTTTCAGGTTACTTCTTCCTTACTTTTAGAATATGGGCCAACTTGTGGTCCCAGCCACCACAAAGAAAATTGCATCACATAGAGGCATGCTATGTCACATAGCAGGCCAAGATGCGATACAATAGGTCTATTTTCCGAGGTAGGGACCTTGAAAAATGGTCCATAGTATCACATGAAGACATGCTGTGTTACATAGCAAGCTTCCATGCGATGGAAATATGTTGGCAGTGAGCTTATGCTACTGCAGGGCCATGTAGGCCAGTCTGTGGTTGGCTACTTTAATGACAGAGCCTGCTATTTGGCTCCTGTCATAAGTATACTATGTTTATGACTCTTGAGACTGAGCCTGTGATGTGGTTCAACTGTTACACTGCTTATTACATGTGTAAATTATATATTACACATGTACTACATATGTTATGCCATGTGGTACATCTATTCCTTTTGATCACTATACATGTGTTTTACATAGGATTATGTACATGTAATCATTTTACTAGAAGCTCATGGGACTGCTCAGCTATCATCAGGGCTATCAACCTTTTGGTACATATGTTACATTATGTATTACACCTATTCTTTCACTTCCTTAACATGTATGTCACATGTGATATTTTACTGATATCTTGTGGGACTGCTCAGCTGTCCTCAGGGCTGACACTCTGTGGGTGAATGCTTGATTAGCACATTGGTGACAGAGGGCTTTGTTGCACATGACCTTTCCATTGGGGAAGAAGTTTTGGTGATGGTTGTAGTCCTCTGTCACCTAGGGAACTCTCCAATGCATGCTAAAATTTTGAACACAATGAGTCCAGCTACTACTCTCACTCCTTGCTAGTGTTGCACATTCAGGGTTGATTCACTGGCAGATCATCAGAAACACAAATTTGTGCAAGATTTTGTGGGGATTGACCCAGATGGGAATCCAGTAAGGCTCTCCATTCCAATCTGTCTGTCCAATCTCTTTGAGCTGACACAATATGATAAATGTTGCCTTTTTTTTGAGCAGGCCATGCCTCCCATGAGAGATCAGGAGGTGACCAAGAAGAATGTGTACCATCTGTGGCAATTTTCCCTTGAAGCTGGAAATATTGGCTATCAGGACTATGAATTCTTGTTGCTGGGCTTGTGGGACATGATCAATCAACATTTTATTTGACAAGCACAAGATGCTCACCAGCATATGCCTACTATGCATGTGAAGGAGTGGGGTGATCATATGGAAGAAGTTTTGGGCAAGAGCCTGTTCAACCCAATGCTCAGGTTGTAAGGTAAGCTACACTGCCAAGATATTTGTATCGGATGGGCCTATCCGATGTTCTATCACCCCGAGATATGCGATGCAGTGTCAGTAGGATTAGGTGCGATGGAATTAC